CTGTTCGACTCCGAGCTCCCCGCCGCCCCGGCTGCTTGTTCCTGTATTTGTCTTCCGCGACGCGCGGTGAATAATTACGGTATCGGCCCCTTTCGCGAATTACGCGTTCGTGATTCGACGAAAATTTCGTTCGGCCCGCGAGGAATTCATTTAAGAGGGCGTGGGTCGCGCGAAGCCGGAATAAGATTAAGGAAACGAGATTTCGAGGGAAATTGCTGGAAAAATGGCCCTTTGTGCCTATCGAGGCTCTTCTGTAAACTGAGAGAAAGTTCGGCGACCTTAAACCCGCAAGCTTATTAATTTGCAAAACGTTTTACGGGAAGGGAATGTTATTAACCCTCGTCCGACGCCATAAACTCTCATTTACCTATATCTTTTCCTTTAGGTGACAAGATGTTTGAATTTTTTAAAAATATGTCCCACGTATTGTGAAATTTTGTTAAACTTTTCGTTATACTTCATTTGAAGTAGTCATGGTCCAATAATAAATTCACTTAATCCCTTGACTTACAATATCGTGTCACTCGCGATGACAATTTTGTATCGATTTTGACAAATCGAAGTGTTATTTATTGTTTTTCAATATAAAGTGGATATTATTTTTCTGTTATCGATCTTTAACCTTTGGAATAAACGTAGACATAGAATAAACAAGAAAATATATTCTCTTCCTAATAAATAACTAACGGTAAACAAGTTTCATCGATTCTAGTTAAGAAATAAAATGTAGGACAAGAGGTTGAAGTACTATTTGTCTGAAATCTGTCTCGGACACTCCTTGTCAACGACCGAGGCTTAAATTGTAAAAGCTTCATCGTTCGAGCTCTCTTGAGTGATTGATTTTTGCGTTGATTCGGCGAGTCGCGAGCGCCAAAAATGACTGGCAATTAATCTCCGCGTGCCGATGGGAAACGAAGCGTTGTCGCTGCACCGTCTACGGTGTGGTCCGATGGCGGAAAGGAGTATTAATCATGGTTAAACTAGTGGTACGCAACACTGTCGTGCACAGTACCGTTTCCAGTTAACCGGCAATTACCATCGATCAGTGGGAATTAGAGAATGAACATTGTTCCGGTGTTTTAACGACCGAACTATGCGCCCATTTTTTCGCCGGCAGAATGCTCGATATATCCGCCACGTAAAGTTCGCCGATATAATAAACTACCGCGTGCGTGGAAACAAATTACGACTCTCTTGTAACGAAGATCGAGTGGGGAAAAGCGGATATCGGACAGGAAAAACAGAATACCGGCGAAACTTTCTCGATGAACATTATCGGATTACACTCATCGCTGGCGGGAAACGGACCCGACGAACGGACCGTAGGAAACGTACGCGACGTTATCATTCTTTTTAAAATTATATTTCCATGATGCTCGAAATCCACGAAGTGCTCTCGCCGTAACGACCGCCAGAAACGATGTAATACCTGGAAAATAAAGGAACCGGGGGAGACCTGGTTCCGGCGGGAGAAAATGAAAATGAGGGCCAGGAATTTATGACTTCCCCCGGGAGGAGATTAAATTATTCCTTTAGCTGCCGGAGAACGGCGTTTTTAATACTTTCACGGTTCAAAATATTTCATTGTTCCTTGAAGAAATCAGAAGGAAACTCTGCAGTCCCTGGCCATCTTGCGCGATAAATAAAATTAGAACTGAAAGCGTGGCCGGAGACGTTCGAGGGTCCATTGTAGAATTATTCAGTCCGGTATCCTCGCGAGCTCATTAACCTTTAGGACAAAGTGTTTTTCATCTTTGCATTATTTGGAACGTTTCCTTGAAATATATTTTAGAGGACTATTACTTAATAAGAATTAAAGTAAACAATTTTCTTCGCTAGGTATTCCAATATATATTATTATAATTTTGATATTATGATACCTCGGAGCAATTTGTTCCAACACTTGTGAATAAAATGTATGTCAAGTCGCTCGGAAAAGGAATGTAAAGGATTAATTCGAATCAGAGGTTTTCCGTCGCTTTCATCTAGATATTCACCACTTCCGAAGCAATATTTCATTTCCTCCGGATCAGTTTGTCCCAGCTGACGCGATTACCTTCCCTTCTCGTGCATTTGTTGCCGCCGTGCACTATCGACCACGTTTCCCAGCCCTTGTGTAAACGGTCACGTAATATCGGCGATGATTTCATCCGGCACGTCCCCGTTATGTTAATCAACAATTGGTGACGGTCCGCGCGTTCCTACGCATTTTCCATTTCCCTTCATTAGACGCGATTGTCCTTCGCAGAATGTTTCGGCATTCAACCGGGACAGACGACGAGATGGTGAATCGATGGCAGGCGAGGAACGCGGCGCAATTCGACGTGCTCCGGTACCGACATTTCTCCTGAATTCTGGTACGACGTCGGTACTCTTGCGACGCGCTTGAAAATTCGCGCGCCGCTCATCCGTCGTTCGAGAAACGTTTCCGTCATCTGTTCGACTCGTTAGGCCTCGCAACGTATCACTTGCTCAGACGTTTCGTTAGACTAACCATTCAATTTCTTCGCGATAGCTACATGCTTTACCAATTTTTATTCCATTTCTGTGTAATATCGTAATCATTATATATTAGGTACCGGGAAAAGATGTTCTCGTGTTAGTAATAAGTCGAAGTCCGGTTTCAATCAGTATTTCACTAGCTTAACGAATGAAATTGGTATTAGCAGCAAGTTACGTTTATGTTGTTATTAAATGAGATAAGATTATTTTACAAAAATGTTCTCTGAGTTTAAATTTTGATTTATGAATCCGCGCGAATATTGTCTGGTATATAAATAAGATTATAGTTCCATAATGTTCTCAAATAAACGAGCAAAATGAGACTATAGGTGAATCAAGTAGAATTGAAGTAAGTTCCTCGAAAGAAAAATCGAGAACCCTTTAAATCGCAGAGAGTTAACGGTGCTCATCGCGATTTATTAGAAGTATTATTTATTGTATCGGTGACTGGGAAAATCCGAGATTCCCTGAGACGCAACGTTGCAATAGGTTGCACACGTCGAGTCGCGAGCGACCGCACAAAGTCAGTTTTCTTGGCAGCGATAAAATTCAATTTCCGGTAATATCGGGGACAATTTCTACCCACGTTTTCAGCGGTCGTGTTTTCAAGGATTTCCCTTCTGCGATGGAAACTCGAGGAAACGATGCGTCACGCGGCCGGTTATACAGTTTCGCGATCGTGCATCGCGCACTTCGGTAAGTTCGAAGAGATTCGAATTAGAACGACGGCGAACAATACGCGTAGTGTCCCGTGTGAATAGTAAAATCTCGCTTTTCTATCCGCGCCGTGTTTAAACGAGACCCAGCCAAGGTTCTTTCCCGATTTGTCGAACGGCTATTTTTAATCCGCGGGAAGAAAGGAAAACGTTGGGCCTGTTTCCATTTGCAGAAATGTCGTTCCTTCCGCGGGAAGTCGCCGGTTCGTTGAACATTCGAGGGTTGAAAACACCCGGTGAATTTACTTCTTTAACGATCCTCGTAAAATTCGCCCCGCATGCGATGCCGCGCTCGCCGAGCCACCCCCTTCCCCCGCCATATTGCAGTTGTTTCACGAAACGCAGCCTGCAAATACGTTCGGGCCAGCGAATCGTTAAGGGACACGCGTCGCAATTAGAGTTGTCAGCGGGAAGCTCGCCCGCACCGGATGCGCTGAAATTTGTTTTCATTAACGATATACCGTCCCTCCGGTGATCCGACAGGTGGCGTGTTCTTTGATCCGTTTCCATAAATTGGTCGACCTTTTCATTACGCTTTAATAATACGAGCTTCCGTTACGGGATCGCCATTGTTCCGCGGAACAATCGGTCCGCCTGAAATAGTTCAGCCTGTAACCAGTCAAGGTGTTCGTGTGTTCGTTCCTTTTTCACCGCAAAGCAGGCGCGAGCTTGTTCCCGCCTCGCGAGTCCGCGAACGAGCAAGACACCGGCTCCTTTGAGCCCGCCGCCGTAAAAAATGTCCAAATCTGTCCTCCGTCGTAGCGGGACCAGACGAATTAAACGAGGCTTGCTGCGTACGCACGCGGCAGACAGGCTAAACGACCGGCTACCGAAATATTTTATGGTGTGCAGTCTAAGGCTGACGCCGGATTTAGGATTGAAGGTCGCAATGGGAACGAGAAATTTCGAGATTTCGCTATTCTAGACTTACCATCGACCGTCGCGACGGTTTCGTCGTCAACCCTTTTCATTCCTTTCCAGCCTTTTATTCTTCCCACGATTTTCCATCGAGTTTCTGTTAGTTTCACCGATATCGTGATATCCGATAATTATTTCAGTTCGCCAGATGGTTGACCTTTCGGTTCACTCGTTCCTTCCGCGAGAGGCCTCATACTACATACTTTCCGATATACGTGATCTCGCGACTCGCCTCTTAACGTTTGCTACCAGCGTCACATATTTGCGACGATCAACGTTTCATATTTTGCGCAAACAAGATTGAATTACATTTAATATTGTTACGTTCTCATCTAATATTGCAACGCATGGTATAATGCATAGAAAGTCGCGGAGACTTTTTTCTTGACTATTATTCGTATTTCGTAAAGACGATACATTTCACTGAATAAAATATTCTAACCGCGGAGGTTGAAGGTAGTGCTCGTAGCGAATGAGTTAATTTCGAAGAATCAGCGATCTATAAATAGTTCCGGGTCCAGAATCGTTCGTTCCCGTTGACTTGTCCATTTCTGCGAGACTGTCTAACAAGAAAAGTTAATTTCGGACGTGCCTCGGAAGGCATGCCAACCACGCGCGCTAATGAGCCGATGAAAATTCACAGTAGCTCTGGCTTCTGACGTTCCCTGTCCCTCTGTACATTCCAGCCAGCCCACCAGAGATTGTTAAATTTATTTGGAAGCCCTGTACGCCGCGTTTCACTATGCAGGAGGCACAAATTTCTCGGCCGGCGACCGTTATACTCGCGTTCCTCGCGATTTTTGTAACAAGGGGGTGGTTTCGCGGTAACGATAGATTAAACGTGCTTTCCGTATCTGTTCGCAGATCGAAGTTTTTTAGTGGCCAACGCTCAACAGGGACTATGTCACATAATATACTGCTCGGACGGTTTCTGTCGGCTGACGGGCTTCTCGAGGGCGGAAGTGATGCAGAGACCGGCGATCTGCGAGTTCCTTCATGGGCCAATGACGTCGCCTCATGCGGTCGCAGCCCTCCGCGACGCCCTCGCCGCCGGCGTCGAAAAGCATTTCGAGATCCTCTACTACAGGAAAGACGGTAAGTCACCTGCACCTTGCTGGCCTCGAATTATTAAATCGAGAATTCCAAGAACACGTTTAAAACCATCCACTTCCACCGCGGATCTTGCGAAACAAATCAGAGCCGAGGGAATGCGCGGAATTCTACTCTCTTTTTACATCTCTGACCCTCGCATGACTGATGTCCACTTTGGCCTATAATAGCATTTGCATTCTATGCAGCTTTTCAGGAGGAATTCTACTTTAAATTGTACGCGTACCGTTAACGACGTACATTATGGTCACACGTGTCCATGAAACGCGAATCGATAAATAAAGAAATAAATAAATGCAGCGTTGCATGCATCCTTCATGCGAGGATTAACACGGATCCATAATATTCGCAGTTTATTAATCATTCGTTGGAAGTCGGAGGTTCGTTTCATCTGTCCTTTCCACGAAAATGTATTATTATCGATCAAAGTGGGCGACAAATCTCGCGAGAAACGGTACCGATTTTTGGCGGACGGAAGCCAAAATTTCGCGGCGAGAACTGGCAAGATATCCGCGGGCAGAAGTGTCGCGGGAACCGAGGAACCGGACATCCTGAATTCCAGTCCGGTGTGTCGACCGAGCCCGTCTTGGCAAGACCTTTCAGCTTTCTAGGGACATTGTTTCTTGGATCCTCGAGAATAGACAATGCGATTTGTATCTTTGCCAAGCGTTTTCCCCGAAAAGCCATTTTCTCGATTCTTCGTTCCCGGGCATTGTGAAATATTTATTCCGCCCGATTATCCGGTCAGCTGATAGAAGCCTGTAAACATCCTTGAAAACGAAACACATATAAATTCCCCGACCCTTGGGGAATTGAATCGTGAACTTCGTAAAACGCGAAACTGACTAGGAAACTGTTTTTCATTTTTCTCGACTTATTTCCTCGCATAGACACACGATAATTCGGTTTGTATCGGCAGAGTCACCCTGTACATCGATCGAAACGAAATATCGACGAATCTGTCCAAACGTTGCCACGGTATTCCAGAAACTACGGGTTTCGCGCGCTCGCGAAACGGAGCAGCTGTAAAATTTCCTGTCGAGCACCACGCGTCAATTTTGGAAACTTACTGTCACCGTTATTAAGCGTTTCCGCGGCTGACTACGTCTGCGACTCGGTCTGTACACGGGTGGTATACCTCGGACGAGAATCCGTTTCTTCGAGAAAGTTTGTCGCGTTAATAATTACTGTCGAAGTTCCCCGAAGTCGGTCGAAAAGTCACCGTCGACACTCAGTTTTATGGAATCGAGTATCATGTGGAAGTTATCATTCCCCGGAACATAAGTTTCTAACTATAGAATTGTCTGTAGCTTGTGCAGCGTGTCGCAGAATTCTCGAGCGAGTTGCGTTTGTTCTACTAATAGAAGTAAGGGAATACTATATTTCTTTCGCAAGTGTTTTTATTCCACTTTTTAATCCCTTGCCTTGCATAACGTGTCAGGCACGTGGTGCAGATTTCGATCAGAATTGAACTAGCATGGACGTTCGCTCGATCCTTTTGAATTCAAATGAAATATTATTCTTCGGTTATCAATTATTACACTTTGGAACAGAGATTCCAAGATTTATAATTTTTTTTCCCTTAATATGAAAATATTTAACCCTTTGAACTCTGTAGGCTCCAATATTGCACCAGTTATAATATTAAATATTTTAATGAATCTTAAAGAAACTACCCTAAAATTATTAGATTTTCCACACATCCAAATTTTGTACTGGGAAAGAAAATAAAAGATCGAAAAAATGTTATAGTTTTTGTCATTTTCGCTGGGAATACTATAAAAATTAGTTGCAGTTGCTGGTAGATTACAAAACAACCTGGAGTGCTAAGGGTTAATATAAAATTTATTCTAAAAAATATATTTCAACTAATTCCCTCATTTATTGATACTATTTAATATAAAATTTATTCCAGAAAATATTTTTTAAATAATTCATTAATGACAAAGTAATTGTATCGATTGTAGCGGAGAAGTAAGTCGTGATACAAGGGGTTGAAGTATTAGGGTCTTCATACATTATCTATTGCAACTATTCTCTCAAATTCAATTTCGTTGATACTATCACGCGCGGAGAACACGGAACACAGCGTAGGTTTTCGAAACGACGCCGAGCTAAATAATAAATTTCCGGTACCGATCAATTTCAGGCTAGACGTGTCGCTCGAACGACGTCTTCAATTCCCGTCGAGCGGAGAATTAGAGCCGTTTCGCGGGGACAACTTTATCGGCACGCAATAACCCTGAATTTACATATTCCAGTGGAGATCGTGATTTTCCAGACAACGGAGTGACTTCTTCCCGGGGTCTGTAAGAACCGTTACGTTATTCAGAGCGGGAAAATTGAATTTATTCGCGGACCGATGGTTGGCTCGGACTCGATTTTGCCGTAGTGTCTGACCTTAGGCGCGGCGAGATCAATAGTCACTACTGTATAATTTATCATAGTCATAGCTCGAGGCCTCTTGGCCCACCTGAGTTCCCTGGTCCGGTTCCCCCTGGCTTTAGACTCGCGCTCTTGTACACAGGTGAATGCCGGCGATACAGATTTAATCGGTGGACATCGTTTCGATTCGCCAACTTATCACGAATCTCTATTCCGTCGTACGAGTTCAGCCTTCTCATTCACTACTCGTTAAAGTAACTAATCTCAAGCTTTAAAATACAATAATTATAAAGAATAATAATAATTTTTCTATCACTCGTCGAGAACAATTGACGTTAACATAATTTACCGTCAGTCTGAGTGATACTAAACATAACATTAAATAAAAATTTATATCGTTTCTAATCAATGCAATTACACGAATACATACCTCAATTCTCCGTCCCCGAAACCCAGACTTCCAAAATCAACACAAGCGAACATCCCCGAAACAATACAACAAACTACAACTACTCCGCAAATCCGTTAAGAAAGAAAAAAAAACAAGAAAATACTCGACTCGCGATATCTCGCATGATAAATAACGCGAACACCGTGATATTGAATCCCGACGCGATCGAAGGAAGGTCCCCGAGACACGTAGATCGCGAAGAGAGAAGGGAATTGATGAAACGACTGTGCATCAAGATAAGCTCGATATCCGGCCCGATACGGAACGCATCAGGCAGTTATCGGGAAATGCAACCTGATAGCACGTGTGACGAGCACAAAGGGGATGAAAGAAGGTAGGGCGAGCGGTAGCGAGGGTGGCGGAAGCTGAAAAGCGGAAAGTAGTCAGCGGCGACCACCTGCAGTCACCTCGGCAGGGTTTGGCACGGTCGGGAACCGTATTCCCAGTGAATCTGCCCGGGCGTATTACACGTCACCAGTCTTTCCCGCTTTGACGGGACGCGGTTCTCATTGTTCCCGCTCATTTTCCTCGGGGTGAGGGAGGACGGACGCCCGAGGAATTGATCGCCGGGGGACGGAACGCTCGCGGCGAGCGGGATCGGCTTCGCAACCCTCACCGGGGGGTTGCGGCGAAACCGTTGACCGCTACGGTCCGCTAGCACGCGCCGCGCAGCGGGACACAGCTAATTTTTTCGTTTCCGTCGCTCGGTCGCCGGCAAATGTCGATTCGACGTCTCCCTCGCCCCGGCTTTTTTCCATTCCCCTTCGCCCCTATTTTTCAGCTGTCGTCCCGTTCTGTTTCTCGCGGTAACGTCCACCCCCTGGGGGGCGATCACGATCGAAATGTCAAGG